AATTAAAACTGAGGTCTTCAGACATCCACCCCCATACTTCTCTTCATTGAAAATGGCTACTCTCATCAAGTTTACATTAGATCAGATCCTTTAAGTAATAAGCCATGTGTATGTGTATAATAATAATAATAGCAGCTGCTTTTGTTGAGCACCTACTATGTGCTGAGTTCTTCCTGTGTATTATCTCTGATGCTCATGACTTCACCAAAGGCTGAAATGACATAGCCAGCTTGCTCAGGGCCCCATAGCAATGTGATAAAGCTGATATTCAAATACAGGCTTTTCTAGCTTCAAAGTATAGACCTTTTCCTTTAAGCTGCACCAATATGGATATAAAATACCATCTCCAAGTCCAAGACAGGATACAGGTAATATTCACTCCTACAAAGTCCTGCCCCAATAAATGGCATGTGGCAGCACTTTAGGTTGTTGTGAAGATTAATAAATTCTTAAAGAGAGCTCTAAACCATATCTGGTATCAAGTAAGAGTTCAATAGCTGATGACAATGATGATGGCAAAGATGATGATGAATAGAATTGTTTGAAAGGCACTTGATATATTCCTCATGAGATTTGATTCCGCCAAACTAGCTGTGTACACATATCCTTGTACCAAAATAGCCAGCCTTCTCATAAATTTACATACAGGCAGATATAATCAATCAAAAACACCAGCACATAATTACCTAACGGAGTGATTCTGTGCTGAGCTAACTTCTGGGCACCGTAGGAATATGAGACATAGTCCTCGCCCTTAATTCCAGCATCCAGTGTTGTTGGAGAGGCTAAGAGGAAATAGTAACAACTTAAGAAATTATTTTAATAGTTTTATCTAGCGCCATGCCCATAGTAGGTAGGTGTGCAGAAATATTTGTGGAATGAATATGTGCTAAATTATTGGCACAGACTGTAAAATCAAAGAGACAGGAGGAAAGCTGAGATGATATAGTCCCAGGAAGCAGAAAAGGAATTTACAGAAGGAGCGAGTGGTCAGTGAACATGGAGACAGTTGGATTTGGCAATTCACTGATATTACATAGAAAAAAGCAAGACAATGTCACAGCTATATTTCTGCAAGGGCACTTGTTGAACAAAGCTCATCTCTGAGGCTGACTCTGTGTCCTGTTAGCAGGGGCCTCACCTGAGCTCAGGCTTTCATCTGATTCCCAAAACTCATCTGCAGTGCAAAATCATCTTCTCTTACTGTTTTGACCATTTAAATGGCTTGCTGCATAAGTCTCAGAGCCATTCTTTTAAAAATTCTCTTTCTTTGCCTCCTTCTATAAGCTCTTTAAGTATAATAAGATCACTCTTTTAGTTGCAGCTATTTCAAGATTTTATTGCGCAGTCATAAAAATTGTCATGATATCGAGCTCTAAAATGACTGTGGCAATGTGCGGTGATTACATTTCATTAAAATTCCTAGTGTGCTTGCCACTAAGAAGACTTTCAAAGCCTCTAGCTAATTACTTTATCTAATAGGGTCTATTAGATAGACATGGACTTTTAAAGGGTCCATGGTAGAGAAAATAATTGATATTTTTGTTAGCAGCTCTTGCCTTATCCACATATGTGCATAGACATATATGTATATGTAGTGCGTATGGATGTATGTATGTATGTGTATTTGATTTTGTATGGTACATCATCAGTACCAAGGACAGTGCCAGTCATCCAGTGTGGTTAAATGCAACTCCTCAGGAAGGAATCACCCTTTCCCTTCATCACTATCCCATAGAAATCAACAAGGAATTTGGCTAATGGGAAAATTCAGCTAGGATTCCGAATAGGCTAAGTCACTAAAACTTCTGCCTACATCTTTGTGTTCTTAAAGAAGAATCTACTTGTACCCTCAGCTCTTCCAGGCCAAATGAGCAGAATTGTTTAATGCATTGTGATTATAAAACTATAGAATGTTTTTACTATCATCGTGTGCTTTCAAAATTAGTATTTGTACTATAGTTGATATATATTGGAACCATAAAAAGACCCTAGGCCACTATTTCTCAAGAATAAAATGAGCCACATTTTTCTGTCTGGTAGAAAATAGAGCACTTAAGCTTCCACTTGGCTGTGGCTTGGCATTCCACTGGCTGATTCTTTTCCTACTCGAGGCATTAAATAGTTAACTCTTAGTTTTTAAATGCTAGAGGTAAAGATTACACAGGAAGATGGATAAGTCTTAAACCATTTGAATGTAAGGCAGATACAAATCTAAGTAGACACTTAAGCACCACTAATTCCCAAACGTTTTGGAGCTATGAAAAGTTATTTATTTTGATGACACTTTTCACCAGCAAGAATCCTATGTGGCATCTAATTATATCTTAAAGGAGTTGCCTGTCAGCTTCTGAGAATGTTTTTGAGAATTTCATGGCATCTCCTCCAGCTAACTGGACAAGTCTGTGAGTGCCACAAACCCAGGCCTGGAAATGACTGGTGTCCATGTTAAAAGGCAGGACCATGAAACAGGCCACATGCAGTTTTCAGCTAGATCTAAGTTCTGTCACTTGTTCCTTGTGGAGAGGGAGTGGGAAAGACTGGTTGCACCTAAGTAGAGCACATAGTTCTGCAAGGGTAGATGTGCTGGTAGTATTCATCTGTTCAACTGTAGTCATTTTCTGACCTGGTGCCATCAGTACATTTCTAGGTACAGCTTCCTTTGCACACAGCAGTCTCACAAATGCATACATCCATCTCAAAGATCCACACATCTGAGCTACTTAGACCTAAATATATCCCTTCCACCTTCCCCATGGGATCCACTGCAAAGAGGTCCAGTAAGCAGTTACTAATATAAAGCAGTGGCTCTTAACCCCAACTGCACATTAGAATCATCTTGAAATCTTCTAAAAATCCCAATGTCCACCAAGTTTGAGAACCACTCATCTGACCTAACTCTGTATACCTAATTGAGTTGACTTCACATTTTTTTGGTTAAATCATCCCCAACTTACTGCTTAGACTGTTCTTGGTCATGTTGCCTTTCTGTGGCTTTGTAAGTACAGTGGCCAATGGTACTGACATATCCATATCCATGGGTTCTACATTCGTGTATTCAACCCGCTATGGGTTGGAAATATTCAGGGGAAAAAAGGATGGTTTCATCTGTACTGAACATGAACATTTTTTCTTATCATTATTCCCTAAACAATCTGGTGTAATACTATTTACATAGCATTTACATTGTATTAGGTATTATAAGTAATCCAGAGATGATTTAAAGTATACAGGAGGATATATGTAGGTTATATGCAAACACTATACCATTTTATATCAAGGACTTGAGCATCTTCTATATTTCGGTATCTGCAGGGTATCCTGGAACCAATCCCCTGGGGATACTAATGGATGACTGTAATTAGTTGCTTTGTCTCTTGAGCTCCTACTTCTCTGGATGAAGATGGTAAACATTCAACACATTCTAGCCAAACCACAAAAGAAGGTCATAACCTGATATGGCTAGAAATAACCAAATTCAGTAGCACCAAGAACGTAGGGGGCTAAAGTAAAATCAAAGAATGAACCCTATGTATCTGGAATTTGGGAAATATATAGTAGAAGCCCAAAAGCAGCTGCTTTTCAACATACATTGAGGACATACAACTTCCTTAGGAGAAAACAAACCATGACTCTGCTTCTGGGTTCATTATGAATGATAGAATGCCGTTTTGTACGTCAGTGGCATTTGTCTGCCAGCAAAGCCACCTGGGACCCTTGGCCAAAGTTTAACTTGCTTTAGGACACTTTGCAATCAAGACCTCATCAAAAGTATGATATTGGTACAATGGGGGGATACAAGACCATTTTAAATGGTGCATGAAAGAACATCTTTTATTTAATGATTATATTTATTTATTTTAATATATTTGAAAATACGTAAGTGGCACAGCAAACACATACTTTTACAGTGCAGACAGCATTCCATTGACCATAGTTTAGAAATGCATCCATTTAAAGAAAAGTATCAATAAACAATAGTACATAAATGATACTCTTATAAGGAAGGAAAAAGAAGACAAAAGTTTGATAATACTGTATTTCAGCTTGTTGTAACAACCGTGGTCAACTTAAAATTAAGGTCAATATTCTTCCTGCCTCCTAAATTAATTTTTTAGGGAGGAGAAGGAGGAAAATAAAATGTAAAAGAAGTTATTAGGTCTTTAAGTAAGACATGGAAGAGTCCATGAAATGACCCCAGGATGAAGAACTATTATATCAGCCAAGTTGATACTCAAAATGCATTGAGGACACTTAGCCCTGATGTAGTGCCATATGTATTCAGAAGTGAGCCTGCAGCATCTGCAGGAGGCTTGGTAGAAGGCGCAAGCTGGGAAACCCGATGCAAGCACCCCGTGTGTGTCTGTTTGGAAGGTGAGCTCCGTCTCTCACAGGGGCATGCCCATACTCTGCTGGGCGTGCAGTGTTTGCAGAAAGATAAGAAAAGGCACAAAAGAAAACCTGACAAGTTTACTGATGTCTGAGGTATATGAGGGTTGGCTCACCCTAAGATGGGCTCCGATTTAACTCATCTCTGTCTTCCTCACATGCCACTCCTTCCTGGCTCACATTAGAAATTCAGGAACAGAGAACAAAGCAGCCCAGTTTGTTTTTACAGAGCAAGAGGGGTCTGGTGAAAACAGCCCTGACAGCTGTGCTCTGTGTCTTGGTGAACTGAGGGCTTTTACATGTTTCCTTCAAGACTGTTTAGTCTGCATGCTAAGGATTCATGTATCAGGTTTTGGCTCTAGTGTCACTGAGGTAGTTTGATTTCCAGTGGTTTCCTTGTCATCTGCATTTGCCTCCAGTGAAAGAAATAACTGAGAGAACTGAGAGTCGAGTTATAGAAGAGACACTTAAAACCTTGCCTTTCTTCATGCATTCTTATTAAAACGGTATTGCTAGTGCTTCTTGGGGTGGTGGGGGAACTATGGCGGCAGCCCTTAATAACTAACACCTGGATCAGAATTGGTAAACTGCTTTCATGTTGGCTCTTGCAGAAGTGGCAGTGCATTGAGGATACATCTGGCAAGCTTCGAATTCACAAGTGTAAAGGACCCAGTGACCTGCTCACGGTCCGACAGAGCACGCGGAACGTCTACTCTCGAGGCTTCCATGACAAGGACAAAGAGTGCAATTGTAGGGAGTCTGGTTATCGCGCCAGCAGAAGCCAGAGGAAGAGTCAAAGGCAGTTCCTGAGAAACCAGGAGACTCCAAGTAAGCCACGCTTTTGTGACCATCTCAGTGGCAGGCCAAGGCCTTTAGGACTGAACTTCAGAGAGACTAAAGGGTTGTTCCTGAGCGTCAGACATTTCCAATGCAGTTTTCAAGCTAAAAGCAAATGGCTGTTCTGCTTTAAAATAAGAAAGCTAAGATTAATTTGAAAGTTTGCTTAGCAAACATTTTTCACTTAGGCATGGAATGAAAATATAGTTAGTAAAAGCACCAGATGCAAAACATATGCACACATAAAAGAGCTTACAAAGTGGTTATTCCAAAGGATACAGGGTATGGTTTAGGTCAATTTTATTTCACCTTAATGCTAACATCCTGATTTGTCTGCCTTAAGTTGCTTTAAAAAAAAAAAATAATAAATCCAGGGTTTCAGTGTGTGCGCCTTTGATTAAAGAGGAAAAGCATAAACACTTTTTAAAAGGCTTATATTTTAAGCCCTGTTTTAGGACAATATATATAGGTTTTTAATTCTGTCAAATTGTTGGATCATGCTGACTGGCAAGGTCAAACTAGTTGAATTCAATATAAAAAGCCCTGGCCCTCGCATTTTCTTCATGAAGATGCTATCAGGCAGCTGTGAGAAACCTATGATTATACAAATGTGAAAACCTGCGTGCCCGCGCCTTCCATAAAAGAATGAGAGTCTAGTGCCATCTAGTGGGATTATAGGAAAAGTGACTCCATTCTATGGTGATTCTGCTCTGGTTTGGAAATAAACAGCATACATTAAGTTCAATTCTGCGTCCAAGATTTAGAAACCAGGTTATTCACTAGCACAACGGAAGCCCTTAGACCAGGCGTTTTTATTGTGGAGTCCACAATATAGGCTCTCTGTTCACGAATCCCTGATATTTTATCCAACATTGTAAGTGTATTCTATGCATGTATGCACATTTTCCTCAATGTTAATGATTTTCAACAAATTCTTAAAGGAGCCCATACGTCAAAAGACTGAGAGCCTTTGATTTGAGAGATTTTCTTTCTCTCCTGAGAGGAAACCCCAGGTTTAATTCACACAAGGATATCAGATTGAAAATAGACAAGGGACAAGGAGCCCTGACACACTCCTTTATCTGAGGCTTATGTTCAGCTTAGAAGTAGGAGCGCCTTCTTCTCTTCCAGAAAGTTAGACTTCGCTTCCCAAGCGCTGATCATAAAGCGGATCGATTTTTCAATGTTGGGCACAAACAGAAGTCTAGGGCAGCTTTTCCAAACTGTATGGAATCCTGTGAGAGCAGGTATTGTTTTCCTTCTTTCCACAAGGATGGGAAGGACGGAATCCTCGCAAGCACTCTCAGTGTACCCACCCCCCCACCTCCCCATGAGTTTGCTCCCTCATCTGGAAACTGTAGGAGCCTGCAGAGAGCTGTCCTAGAGGCATGATAATTCTCATTCCACAGCCACTGTGCCCCCTTTCTTCCTATTTTAGCAGCAGACTGGAGAAGTGAGGCCAGTTGAGTATGCCTCTGCAGGGCCTAAGTGCATCTGATAAAAGGAGGCCACTGATGCACGTTGAAGTCCTCACCTAGCACACACGACCTCTCGAGAAGGTTCCACAGTCACCAGAAAGTATCCTCCCTTGCCCCCACCACCCTACCCTCCATCTGCCAGGTATGAAAAGTCAGTTAGCTGATGAAAGCTTGAGCAAAATTTAATTATTCTTAGAGCAGTCCTCCACTATTTGTACAAACAGAAGGTGTCTAGAGCATTTGCCTTTTTAAGAAAGCAACCCAATGCAGTGCTAAGACTGTAGTCTGCGAGATTATAGTCCTAGCTCCGTAATCTTACAAAATGTATGTGACATTCAAAACTTCACTTTTCCCATCCATAGAATAAGGACGATAACACCAAATTCTTGAGCCTGTTTTCACAATTTGATAAGTATTTTTTAATGTAAGGGTTTTTATAATAATGTCTGCCTTTCAAGACTGTGGATTAGAGATAAACAAAATGTATATAACAGATAGCAAAAGCCCAAGAAAGGATAGTCATTATTATTAATATCATAATTGGGAATACGATCTTACCCAAACACACTGTCTTAGCAGTTCACGTCAAAAACTAACTGTAGAAATTCAGTCTCTGCAATAAATACCTAAAGATCACCCAGACCTATCACACACACACACACACACACACACACACACACACACACATTTGAGAGATTCAGGGCCAGAGGCCCACAGAAGCCTGCCCTCCACCACACTGCCATGCAGTGGCACAGCCAGGACAGGAGCCCACCTCTCCCGCCACGCATGCCAGGGGGCGTCCAGGGCACCACTCTGCCCCTCAGCAATGCAGATGCACCCCCTGCCCCTCTCCAAGATCCTCACTGCACCAGGTGATCATTTTCTTCCCTCCCAAACTGCGTCAGGATGTCCATAGTGACGTATCTTCTCTTGCTTTCCAGAGTACAAGCCCCGATTTGTCCATACCCGGCAGACGCGTTCCTTGTCCGTGGAATTCGAAGGCGAAATATATGACATAAATCTGGAAGAAGAAGAGTTGCAAGTGTTGCAACCAAGAAACATTGCCAAGCGTCATGATGAAGGCCGCAAGGGGCCAGGAGACGGCGATGGGGACGGGATGCTGGCAGACAGCAGCAACGCCGTGGGCCCGCCTGCTACCGTCCGAGTGACACACAAGTAGGAAGGCTTTAGGTGTTCATCCTCCATATGACCATGATGTTGCATTTTGCAAAAAAGTATCACTGGGCAATGCAGTGCCCATGTGCTGGCCTACATTGCAACTGGGGGTTAAAGAAGCAATGAGGAGTCCAAACAATCTAGACTCGGACGTGTGCTTTGGGGTTAATTTCACATTAAGATTGATCAGCCGGGAATCGAGCCAGAGTAATTCAGTCACATCTTGACTTAGCAGGCGTGGAGTTTGTGCCCCTAAGCAGTTACCTTTGTAGGCATCTAGAAAACAGATGAAAACAATTTCAGGGTCTGGAAGAGGCTCTTCTATGCTGTATGGTCCCTGTCACTTAAAGCAGTTATACAGTCACAGCCTCAGAAATGACACACACAACTCAAGAGAGGGCCGTGAGTCCCAGAGAGGCTTCCAGAAAGATGGCATAGATTAGGAATGAATGTAGAGTGCAGAAGCATCTAACCTATCCCAGACTGCAGAGAGAGCAGAGAAGGCCTTGGAAGTCACAGAGTGGGGAAAGGCGTGGACTCCTCACAGCTTAATGGACTCTCTTGCTTCTTCGATTCCTTCCTAAATCTACTTACTTTCTTAACAGAGAAATATTTTCTTTCTGAACTTATTAGCAAGATCTTTGCTTCTCCCTAATTTTCATCACTTTGGGGAGATGGGGCACCATGAGCTTTGCCAGGATTTTTATCTCTGGGACTGGTCTCCTGGTGCCTGTTGTCACAGCTACATACTAAGAGATTTAGACCAGAATTTGTTTCTCATACATTGTGGGTTGACCCCATATCCCAACTATTCTCTATTGCTTGGGCTGTTGCTTTGCTTCAGAACTTAATGGCAAGCTCTTTGTGATCAAACAAGTGGAGAGAATATTACCCTTCTGACTGCATTTCTTCAGACAAGCCATTTGCATTATGACCCCAAAAACTTCCCTTTTTTCTATGTCTCTTTGCTTGGGTTTTCAAAACTTGAGGGGGTTTTTTTGTGTTGTTTTGTTTTTTATGGTATCTGTTCACAGGGATGTGAATACTGAGCACTGTCTTGAAAGTTTATCTTAGTGATGACCTTGGTCAGGATGACCCTGGTCAAAGGATAATGACACCATTGTTTGCCCACACTGGTCTCCAGGACACATTCCCACTTACCCTCGTCTTGACGTAGCTCCACACTTACTGTTTATCTTTACATTAAGAGATTAGCAGATAGAAAGGTCTCTTTGCAGGCCAGGAACGGGGACACATGTCTATAATCCTAGCACTCTGAGAGGCCAAGGTGGGAGGATCACTTAAGGCCATGAGTTTGAGGCTACAGGGAGCTATGATGACAATACTGCACTCCAGCCTGGGCAGCAGAGCAAGACCCTGTCTCAAAAAAAAAACAAACAAACAAAAGTTCTCTTTGCTGTCTTTAATGTTTTCCAGTATTAGAATATCAACCTAGTTCCTGTGTTTTTTGCTTGCTTTTGCAGGTGTTTTATCCTTCCCAATGATACCATCCATTGTGAGAGAGAACTGTATCAATCTGCCAAGGCCTGGAAGGACCACAAGGCGTACATCGATAAAGAGGTTAGTTGTGCCTGTGTGACTGTCCACTATCAGCTATGTTCCAAGTTCAAACTCGGCCACCAGCCCCACTGCAACTGGTGGGACATACTACGTGTAGACACCATCCTTTTTATAATTACATGAAAAACAACCAAGGTATGTGTCTTTCTCCAGTGATTTAGTGATAGTCATGCTAAAAACAAAACAGAATGAGAAGACAGTGGGGATTGACGGAATGGCCTTCTGACATCTCCCCAAGAAAACGATTCAATTATAAAGAGGCATCTGTTTGTGCGGGCTGGGATATAGAGGTAGACAGATTCCATGCCCCGCTTGTTTCCAAATGAATTATCATCTCAAATGAATAGTTATGATTATGGAACACAGAAAACAAGCCGAAAACAGAGGTACTTTATAAAGAAATTCCTGATCTCAAAATGCCGTTGTTCAAATGCGTGTTCTCCAGATTGAAGCTCTGCAAGATAAAATTAAGAACTTAAGAGAAGTGAGAGGTCACCTGAAGAGGAGGAAGCCCGAGGAGTGTGGCTGCGGCAAACAGAGGTGAGCGTGTCTTCTGGCCCATGGTCTGCTTTCCACACTCATTTTTACACGAGCCAGGGAGGCTGGCAGTAGGCTTGTTTCCCTCCTTCACCAATAGGAAGCTTAACATGAATGCAGTATCATATAGAGTAATGCCCTAAACTAGTCCAGTCAAATTCAATAGGCCATAAACTTAAGCTGAAGGTAAAAAGTCCCATTAAGCTAGCAGTTACAACAAAGTAACTGCCTTTATTCTGTTTTGCTTTCGTTTTATAAAATGAACTATTGCATCAAATGCAAGGTTATGAAGGCTCACTTCTTTAAATCTTGCCTGCAGCTATTACAATAAAGAGAAAGGTGTAAAGAAACAGGAGAAACTAAAGAGCCACCTTCATCCATTCAAGTAAGTAATTCTGTTTTCCATGTTTGCTGGGAGTCAGGGACTGTCCACTGGACCCTTCTGAGAGGCCGGGGGTCCCTGTGTTCCTAGCGATATTGCTTCGGAACAAGCAGATCCGCCCAGAAGGGCACATAGCTCAAGAAGGTGAAAACAAAAGTCCACACCTCATCAAGGGACGATGGTCTTGGGATCCTTTGCGAGGAGCCGTGCTGGGTTCTACTCTAATTCTGTACGCGCTCCCCGCCTCACACGTGGGCCCTGTGACCGGATTTCACCCCATCCCCTGCTCTCTGTGCCTGGTGATTGAGTTACAGACTCTCGCCATTAGGCTGGCGTGTTCTGTAGAGCGGCCGGTAACAGTGTTGAGTTCTGAAAGTGGGAAGAAACATACATATTTTTTTAAATAATAGCCAAATTTGCATGTTAAAGAGCTTTAGTATTTGAACCACAACAAAATTTAAGCCTTTTATGAAAAAAAACCCAAGATTATAAAACAGAATTTTTTTAAAAATTGGCTTTCCAATTTTGTAGAACTTGTCACAGAATTCTTAAAAGCTTCTAATCCAAGCCATCTAGTCCAGCTAACCGTGGACTCAGTAGCGGATAGGTACTGAGCCACCAAACGTCTAAGCCATTCATGCATCCAAAGAGTGTGGCTTGCAGGCTGCACGGATTCACACTGACGTTTATGTCCGTCACTGCGTACGCATGCATGAGGAAGAAAGCGTTGAGGCTGTCAGGGTTAATGAGGTTCCAAGACAATTGTCACTAGATGAGTTAGCCTTCGCTATTCCTGGTTATATTTTTAAGGCCCTCTTTGCAAAATACAGATCATCTATCACTGTGGCTCTGTTATCGTATATGTAAATGTTTGTGCAAGATTCAGAGCAGCAAGCCTATTTTTAATTGAGAAAGCACCTGCTGATCATTCGCCCCAAATCCCCGCTGTTGGGACAGGGAGGCTGCTCAGGAAGTGGACAGCAAGCTGCAGCTGTTCAAGGAGACCCGCAGGCGGAAGAAGGAGCGGAAGGAGAAGAAGCGGCAGCGGAAGGGGGAAGAGTGCAGCCTGCCCGGCCTCACCTGCTTCACGCACGACAACAACCACTGGCAGACGGCCCCGTTCTGGAACTGTAAGTTGCTAGTTTTCAATGCCACTTCCCGCCACTGTGCAGAGAGACAGCGGCTCGTCACTTAGACTAGGAATGTAGCAGCTTTCCTAAAACCAGGACTCTAGAACGATTCGAGGGGAAAGCATCCTATGATATTCCAGCCCTGGCAACTTGAATCGTTTTACCAAACGTTCCTTTTTTTTCTTTGGAAATTGTATCGGTATCTTGTTTGCAAATGCCAAGCTTCTCCCTGGGCTTTTCCTCCTGCAGATGTTATTTTACACAGTCCCCGACACCTGGCAGAGTTTCTGTCCCTTACAACTGCTCTGTAACTAAATAACTAAGTGGAGGAAAGGCCAGTAAATCCTGGATGGTTTTGACCCACGTAGAATGTTTTTCCTGCTTTATTTGAAGTGCATATTGTAAGCATAATGAAAGGAAGTAGAAGAATGGCAAAGTCCATTCAACTCGGGGCCCACGTCCTACTTACTCTCTCTCAGTCCACTTCAGTACTGGCACTGGTGCAAAATAAAGACTCTACAGAATGATTTGGTTTTTACGTTATGTTGCTAAGCATATGGAATACTAATAATTATGCACTTTTTAAATTGGTGCTTATATTTTCTTCAGTGGCCTGTACACAGTATTTCACTGAGGGTGTACAGAGATAATACACTAAATTTTTGTGGTGTTTGTGGTTCATCGCCCGATGAAGGGTTACCAGCCTAGGGAGGAGATGAAACACAGAATCTTGTCATTGTTCACTGCGGACCACCCAGGCCAGTGTTTCTCAAACTGGGATTTGGAGACTCCAAGGAATCTGAAGACCCTTCTTAGAGAGGGGAATCTAGGGCCTATCTGGGAGGATTCTTGTTTTTTCTTTCCATTTGGATGCTTTTTGACTTCAGCATTCACGTTTGCATTTATGTTTACAGTCGCATTGAGGGCGAGTGAACTCTTAACGTCACAGCATTTAACTCTTAATATAGGTGCTTGCCTGGGGCCTGGGGAGCTTGAGGGTTATTCAGATGACTAGGGGTCTGCTCTTGGCCAGCCCCTGGGCCGAGGGATGGGGACACGACGTTCAGTGACACACTTTGTTCCCTGCCCTCGTAACACTCACGTTCTAATGGGGAGAAGGCAAAAAAAGACAGGAGACGAAATAAATAAAATAATTACAAGCTGTAGTCATGCTATGAAGGAAACCATGATGTAAGTTTTTTAAGGGGACCCTTTTAGAGATTGCGGGAATGATGGTCTTTGGGAAGAGGTGAAATTTAAGCGGAAACCTAAAGGGTGGAGAGAGGCAAGCCGTGTGGGAGGGAGAGCGTCCAGGCAGATGGGATGGCATGAGCGGGTCATGAGGCAGTAAAGAATTTGGTGTGTCGAGGGCTGGTAGCCCCTTGAAAGATGAAGCATTGAGACACATGAGGTTATAGTTGCTGTTGCCAGGAAGAGTCCTTCATACCTCTGTCTGCTTCTCCCCATCTGAGCTGAGGTCATCCTGCCCACGCCACCACCATGTCTTACCTCAACCACTGCCAAATCTCCTGTGTGGTCTCACAGGCTCCTCTCATACTTGCATCAATCCATTCTGCTCAGAAGAGCTAGAGTGATTTTTTGAATGCCACCCTGCTTTTTTCAGGCTAAAGAGCAAAATCCTCAACATATCCAACAAAACCCTGAGTGCTACCGTCCAGTCTTGCTTTGGGACCACTTCCTCCCATTCTTGCATATTAGGCCACTCGGCTTCTCTTTGTTCCTCAACCATCCCAAACTCCCTCCTACCACAGGGCCTTTGCACATGTTGCTCCATCTTCCTAGAAGGCTCTTGCCCCTGCACCCACCCACAGCCCTGTCTGTGCCTATCAACCACCATTCGCCCTTCAGACCTCAGCTGCAGTGTCACTTCTCATGGACACCCTTCCTGCGCTCAGACCAGGGCGAGCCCTACTTTCTCTCCATGGGACTTATCACACTTGTAATTGTACATTTCTTTATTTTTGTTGTGGCTTAACTTTTGTCTCCCCCACCAGACTATAAATTTCTCAAGATAAGAGACCTTGTTTCTGTGTCACTCTTATACCCTGCACAAAGGAAATGCTGAGTCAATATTAGGTGAATAAATTAAAAAAAAAAAAAAAAAACAAGCAAACCACCCTGTCCAAGATCAAATCAACTCATGTCAATTTAATCTACCTTTGCGTGCTGGCCGCGTGTCTCACTGTGCCGGTGACGTGAGGAATGTGTGCTATCACTCGGCTCTTACAGGAGCAGAGTGGGGACTTGATCTCATTCAATACCAAATTCAGCGCTCTTCCTAGTATACAAAATATTCTTGGTGCTCACTGTACTGATATTTTAAGACAGCAGCTATTGGAATTGTTTTCACAAGCCACATGACTGTTTTGTTTTACAGAACACATTTTATGTCAGGATCCCATACACATCCGTGCACGTGTACATATATATATATATATATACATGTGTTCATATATATAATATATACTGAAATAAAAATTTCGAAAAGTAAAACTTTGTAATATTCTTTGATATTTTTTTACCTATTCTACTTCATATTTTAATGTTTATTTCTGTATTCCTCATATTTGTAGTGACAACTTACACCCTTGATTGTAGTCAATACTCAATAACATGAAAAAATAGAAAAGAAAAATCAGATATACCCAAGGACATGATCCTCCAATGCAATGATCTCTAAACATTTTTGGTTATGTACCCATGTCAGTTTTTAAAATGAACTTATTATATACTTGATTATATACTTGTACCACTATACTAATATGCCCTGTGTATTATGAAATTACACAAAATCGAAATTAAAAATTATTAGATAAAGGTAAAGAAAAGTTTTTTTAAATAGTTTTTATTCTTTGGAGAGCCCAAAACATTTTGCTCTCACTTGCTATGTATACTTTAAAAAAAAAAGAAATCTCAGGGTCACACTTTACAAATCAGTGAGCCAAAGGTTTAGTTTATGCTTAATACGTGATCTTAGAACTGCCTTGACGTGAAAGTTGACTTAGAAGGATGGGCTGATTCCATACCTGTACATTGTTGGCACTCTGAGTAAATCAGGACACTCATTATTTTAATACCACCATGAACTAAGCAGTGATTTTTATTGAAATTACACTTTTGAATTTCTATCCTCCCTGAGATTTATCATTTATTCTTATGAAGCAATCACAAGGTATTGTATTATATTTGTATGTTTTAAGAGACAAATTCAAAATCCATATGAATTGCTAATTTGGAAGATTTCTACACAGATTAGAAAATTCTGATGTCATTGTTTTTAATATGTAGATGTGAGCTAAATGTTCACATATAAGCAATATAAATTATAAATAACATGTTTAGAGCACTTTTAATGAACAGTTATATAATAATGAAGACATTTTCAATCATCTGTTTTTTAAATGTTCTCTTTTCTTCTGAAAGATCATGTCCGGGTGGAGAGAGGGCTGAACAGGCAGAACACAGAGGGATTTCGGGGTAGTGAAATGACTTTGTGTGATACAACCATGGTGGACACATGTCATACATGGTCCAAACCCATAGTGTGTGCAACACCAAGAGTGAACCTGAATGTAAACTGTGGATTTTGAATGACAATGATGTGTCAATGTAGGTTCATCAATTGTAACAAACGTGCCACTCTGGTGGGGGTTTCCATAGTGGCAGAGGTTGTACATCTATGGGGACGGGGGTTATACGGGAACACCTGTACTTTCCACTCCACTTTGCTGTGTACTACAACTGCTCTAAAAAAATAAAGCCCATTAAAATAATTTTTAAAAAAAGTGATTTCTCACTCATTGTTTAAAACATCTCTTTTAGCTTAAGGGGACAGGTTTAGTGTGTCTAATACTGCATAGGGCAGTAGAGTCTAGTGGTTAAGAATAAACCCTCTAGCCAGACCCCAGTGCTGAATTATCAGCTGTGCAACCTTGGACAAATTATTTAATTTTTCTGTGTCTTGGTTGTACCATCCATAAAATGAGGATGATGATAATAATCTTTCTCAAGAGGTTGCTTTGAGGATTAGATGACTTAATACAGTACGTGCAAAATACGTAGTGCACGAGGAATGCTCATTAAGAGTATCTATCCTAATTGTTTTAAAAAAATATTTTCTAGATGCCATGTTTCTGAAAGTCAATTATTAAAGGAAAGATGAGTAAATTTGGAACCTTTGCCTTTCTGTAAATAGAAGAGCAGGTGATTTGTTTTTCAGTTTTACATCTTTTACATACCGTCTGCAAGTTAACCAGGGACCTCTGCGTGATATGAAAGATGTTCGTGATCACAGCCCAGCTTATGTGAAAGTGTTGCAGAGATCATCCCAAATCCACCAAGCTGTTCTCCAAACCCCTCCACGTTGCAGAATCCAACTTGCTCTGTTCCATTTGTGGCTTGTGGCCATCTGTCACACAGAACAAGCGAGGGCACCAGTTCCAACCATGCCTTTATTAAATAACCATTTTTCCTTTTTTAAAAAAAAGTATAAATAACCATAAATAGAAATGATGATGTTTTCCTTCTCATACTCCACTCACTCGCCCCATGTTGGAAACCACTGCCTAACGGAGGAAAGGGGAGGCTAAACTAACGTGCCTGAAACTTCACCTCCGCCTTCAGCCTAGATGAGATCACCATCTTTTTTTCCTTTTCCACCTAGTCTCACAGGAAATTTGTATAGAGAAAGGGAAAAAATTATCATTATCCTTAACAACACATGATAGTATTTATAAGAAAATGTGAACCTTGGCCGGGCGCGGTGGCTCACGCCTGTAATCCTAGCACTCTGGGAGGCCGAGGCGGGCAGATTGCTCAAGGTCAGGAGTTCCAAACCAGCCTGAGCAAGAGCAAGACCCCGTCTCTACTATAAATAGAAAGAAATAAATTGGCCAACTAAATATAAAAGAAAAAATTAGCTGGGCATGGTGGCGCATGCCTGTATCCCAGCTACTCGGAAGGCTGAGGCAGGAGGATTGCTTGAGCCCAGGAGTTTGAGGTTGCTGTGAGCTAGGCTGACGCCATGGCACTCACTCTAGCCTGGGCAACAAAGGGAGACTCTGTCTCAAAAAAAAAAAAAAAGAAAAGAAAAAGAATGTGAACCTTAAAGTATGAAGATAAGGAAACATTGGAATGGCCAGCCTGCCTAAGGTTTTTCACCATTTTGTTCTGTTTTTCTCTTTCACTTGGGATCGTTCTGTGCTTGCACGAGTTCTAACAATAACACCTACTGGTGTTTGCGTACAGTTAATGAGACGCATAATTTTCTTTTCTGTGAGTTTGCCACTGGCTTTTTGGAGTATTTTGATATGAATACAGATCCTTATCAGGTAAGACAATACGTGTTCATTTTATGAAGGCTGTTGAAAATGGGACAACCAGAACATGAGATTAAATCTATTGTCCTTCTCTCTTCATTCACAGCTCACAAATACTGTGCACACGGTAGAACGGGGCATTTTGAATCAGCTGCACGTACAACTGATGGAGCTCAGAAGTTGTCAAGGGTATAAGCAGTGCAACCCAAGACCTAAGAACCTTGAAGTTGGTAAGGACAAAAGGATTCTTTTTCCATATTACCTAAAAAATTCTTTGTGTTACCAAGTTTTCGGCCTTAGAAACACTTAGATGCACAGAAACATATAGTTCGGGATACTTCGAGGGGAAACTTTCCAAGCAATTCCAAACATAATTTTATCTCTAAGTTTAGCTCTGGGTACACTAATGAAAAACTTAATCCACCAAAACATTTGGTGGGCATTTCCTTCCAATCTCTCACACAGATCTACTCTGTTAGTAAACCTCGATTCCTGATAGAAGCATCTTTTGGAAGATGAGATGAAAGCTTTGGGGATTAATTTGTTATTGCTGTCAACAGTCATAAGATATACTTTAAGTAAACCAGGATATCCTCTTTTCTTTTTAAGAGAACTTAGATGGAAACACACAATGTTCTATTTCTGCTTGTCCCAAGTGGGAGCTCCCCCAGTTGGATCCCTGCCCACAACACAGTGAATTAGATTTCTTTTGCTAGTATTTCCCATCTGAAACTAGAGATATTTGAGCAGTTCATTAGCTTGGGATCTCAAAGTATAAGAGGGTCTGTACGGAATCAGCCAGATGTTTATTCCTTCCCTGCTCTGCAATATTAAACTAACTTATTCCTCCTTTTGGTTCATGGGGACATTCTTTTCAATGTCAGCCCCAGCTCTTTCCTGGTTAATGAGAATTCTCATTTTCTCCTCATAATTTCTGCAGAAGTTTAAATACCAGCTGTCCCTATAAGGAAGGACATAGAACTAAGGCTGGCAAGGGCGTGGGCATTGACATGCCAACCCCCTAAAGGGTGAAGAGCTGGACTCATGGGCATTCAGGAGCAGTTTGCAGGAGCTCTTTGTTACATAGCTGAGTTTTCTCGGTGTCTGTAACAGCCTGTGTCTCCGTGGGTCAGGGGCAGAGCCTGCATCACCGGCAGGGAGAACGGGCAGCTCTCTGAGTCATGCGACTTGAAGGGAGAAAGGGTCCCCTTCCCAAAATGATCCACATCAGTGCCTGTCATTTCCTCCATTGTAAGGCCAGAAAGGCCCGTGAGAAAACATAAATCCTGTGAGAGAGGTCATATCTCAGCCCTCAGTCAACACTTAGTGGAATTAGCACTTAGTGGAATTAGTTGCCAGTCAAGAGAGGGCTGCACTTGCAAAATAGGTCTTTTGGTCACTGACCCCACTCAGCTCAAATCTTTTCAAATATCCTGCTTATCTGTTGACCTGTTCCTCAAATCTTATAAAAAATGAAAGGAAGAAAGAAAGAAAGAGCCCACAAAGACGTGGAATCTAAACCAATCATTAGAGGCACTAGAAATATTACACCCAGATACTTCGCCCCTAAAGAACATAGCACTCTTATTGGTGACGACATAACAGCTCTACTCAGTGAAATCTGATAGCGTCTCTCAGTGGTAACAGGACACAGCAGGTGGAGCCAGTTATGCTGTTATACTGCAAGTAGTACTCTCCACCTTCTAGACTGTTCCTAAGGGAAATTATTATTGGCCCATTTGTTCAAGTGTTTTGTCTAAAAATAACTGAAATTTAACTTTTACGGAGAATTACACGCACTTCTGGAAGTATTTTTCTCACTGGTTTAAGTGGGCTCTCCCACATGTCTCACCCTACCCTTTTTTTTTCATATGAACTCTTACATATTTTTTTATCTTAAACCTTTTCATTTATAGCTTTCAATCTTCATGTTGAACCTGTCTAGTAGAAAAATCTCTGTTGGGCTTCAGCACTGTCTGTATTTAACACGATGTGTTTCTTTCTAGGATTTAGATGTTGTGCATGGAAAACTATATAGTGAATGGTTTTGTGAGTTCTAAAGCTAACACAAATTACTCTTGTATTTTCCTATATCAGGAAATAAAGATGGAGGAAGCTATGACCTACACAGGTATTCACACTTTTTTATTCTCCTCGGCAGCTTCTTCCCCCAATAATTGCATGATCCAGTCATTTCGACTAATTTCTGTTTCTTACCGTGTTGCGCAGAGCACATCTTGGGATGCATGCTTGTTCTAACAGCATTCTCCACCATATTTTGTCATCAGTCACAGATCTGTCATTTTGCTTTTTAAATCAGCTCACTGTCCCATCGAGATGTCTCAGAGCATTTACTCACTCCCATGCTTGTTTGCTTGTTGGATGATGCTTCTAAGCATGGAACCATGTGAAGGGGTAAAACCATGTGGCCTTTTGGGAGCCCTGGGAGAGGGTGGGAGATTGATTTTCTTTGTGGCACTTACACACTGATTTATTTGGTGGAGGGGCTTCACAAAAATGGGGCAGAGATTTTTATGAAATAGAATATCCAAGACACAGAAGGACTAATGAGAACTTTAAGAGCATTCTGAAGCCACATTTGAAGGAAACAGAAAGAACGTCCTTGTGGATGGTCATTAATTAACTTTGGTGGTGGCGGACATAAGATTCGGAAGGCTCTGCCATGTGGTGGAGGAGAAAGAGAAGGTGCTAGAAGCTGGGCACAGGCCATCGGGAGAGTCAGGACACTCAGAAAGGTCTCAGCATTGCTAACAGTACCTGGCACACGAAAAATCCCTCACCAGCCCTGAGCCCCATCCTCTTATCCCCTCAACCCCCATCCATCCCTCCTACCTCCCTGTGCTTTGGAGGGGGGACCCAGACACCTGGGGGCCACGTCACTTGCTCACCCGGCAACATCAGCCATTGCTAATTTTCCACTCCAAGCACAGACCTCAGACCGAGTCTGTTGGGAACATGTGACGTGAGGCGGGTGGGGACTGGCCTGACCACCTCTCCCGAGGGGAAACCCAGGCACTGCTGGGTTAGCTGGTAGCCTAGCTAATGAATTCGCCTGGGAGAGGAACGTCCACCAAAGAAACATGGACTCCATTAGGTGCCATCCATGATAATATCTTCTCAGAGAAACAGGGGAATAGTGTTGCTCCAGGGAACCCTCTTCAGCCACCACCGTTCCCTCCAGCCTCCAGGGCTATGGTCTCAGAGTCCTCCTTCCAAATGACAGTAGGACAGGTGGTGGGGAAGATGTAAACAAAGGAAGCTGGACTTTTGAGGGTATTTTATAGCCATTTATATATCTCTTCTATTTTCTCTCTGCTCTCCTGTTTTTCTTCTTTCCTTTCTTCCAACTACCCCCACCAACCCCAGCACATGTAAAACAGAGCAGAAGAACCCACTCTTAAGCGGGTATCCCCTAGGGTCTGGGCTGACAGGGTAATATCCTATACAGTGACAAGGGTCCTCAAACTTTTTAAACGGGGCCAGTTCACTGTCCCTCAGACCGTTGGAGGGTCATTGGAGAGTGCGGCCACACATTCCGCACATGCGCACTGTGGGCCCGGGACCGGTCAGCTGCTAAGCAGGACAGGCAGCAGAGGCAAAAACACCTGGCAGGCCAGATAAAATGTCCTCAGCCAGCCACCTGTGGCCCTCGGGCCCCATACACTAAGACTCTCCTGGCTGCTCCCCAGGGTCCGCATTAAGACATTTCCAAAGTGCACCATTCTAAATGGACCTAACACTAAATGTTGACTTTACAGTTGGTTCTTGATGCTCTCAACTTACAGCTAAGGGATTGCCAGTCTAGTGTCCCTTTACTTTCGCCATGAGAGAGAAATAAAGGGTATTCACGGGTTACGACAAGCCTGGTCAGCGCTGAGTCACAGTCATTCTCCAGGAGGTCATCCCCGGACAACTTCGAAATGAAGAATGTTTAGCTCCACTTCGGGGGTAATTCAGTGACAAGGACCTCTCCCCTTCCCCGATCCCTGATGCCACCACTCAACCGGCCAAATAATCATTTGTTTCTCAGGTTATTTTGATACAGACTTGGCAACTTTAGTCGTTGAGAGCACGTGTGCGGGGTAACATGGTGTTACCTGCTGCTTTTTTCTGCTCGGCTCCTTACCAAAGGTCAGATCTAAGGATGCGCTATAATTTGAAATAACTGACATTTTCAGACTTCCCCATTTCATAATCCATAAGGCAAGCTGTCTTTCCGTGGGTATCCCTGTTGTCATAGACAGGAAATCTTGACCCGGGGTCACCGAGAGAACATCAGCCTACTCACACCTGGGGACTCACTGGACACCCTAATGCAATCTGATGTGGACTTACCTGTTCACTGGGACTTGTAGGACTGAATGGGGACAGTAGGGACAGAACTGCAGGAAAACTGCTGTCTCCCCATGGTGTCCCCAGTACAGAGCCTTCCATCATTGGCACCACTTAAGAGGTTTCAGAGCCTTAATTCTTTCAGATTTTAAAGGTTTTAGAAAACTAACTAAGATGAAATTTGATTACAAAAAAGACATGAGAGAAATAACAACCAGACCTAAAGAATTCAAAATTTGAAAATTCAACAGAGCATTTTAGAAAACTTATCTTCGACAAGATGGACTAATTAAGTACTTTTAAACTGCCTTCTTTTTGGTGGATTTGCAAAAATTAATCTTCAAACTTATTTAAAAAGGAGTTTCAAAAACCAAGTTTGTTCCCTGTTCAATCTTTCCTTCTTTCTTTCTCTCTCTTTCTTTCTTTCTTTCTTTCTTTCTTTCTTTCTTTCTTTCTTTCTTTCTTTCTTCCTTTCTTCCTTTCTTCCTTTCTTCCTTTCTTCCTTTCTTCCTTTCTTCCTTTCTTCCTTTCTTCCTTTCTTCCTTTCTTCCTTCCTTTCTTCCTTCCTTCCTTCCTTCTTTCTTTCTTTCTTTTTTTCTTCTTTCCTTCTTTCTTTCTTTCTTTCTTTCTTTCTTTCTTTCTTTCTTTCTTTCTTTCTTTCTTTCTTTCTTTCTTTCTTTCTTTCTTGTTTTTTTGAATGCCGCTCCTTGTGCACAAGGCAGGGGCAGCTGCAATGCTCTGCTTACTCACACTGGTCATTTTCCAGTTAAGACAAGCTCAGAGCAAGGGCACAGCTCAGAAAGTAGCACCAATGACTCAGGAAATAATTGTTGGCTGGATTTGAAAGCAATAGCTTCTAAGTGTATTGCAAAATAGAAAAGGATCAACAGGTCGATGGGGTGTTTATTTTTCCCACTGCATATGAAAGCTGATGCTGCTACCCTTTGATGTCCAAGAAGAGCTCCTGGCAGCCGTGGCCGGGTGTCCAGTGGCCGTGCGGGCAGACAGTCAGGTGCTGGCAGCCTTCCCATGGCAGGGCTGCTTCCCGATGCTGTGCTCCGAGCCCGCTGGCTGGCAGACTGCACCCAGCTCCACCCTCAGCAACCACGCTCCGTCCACATTGCTTTCGCTTGTTTTGGTTCATCTCCCACATAGCGACCGTGTGTGCCCAAAACAGTCGTGGGTGACACAGCTGTGTGTCAGTGGCTGTACAGCACTGCAGTCCTGTGTGTGGATGCCAGAGCCAGACTGCTCTGAGTTCAAATCCCAGCCTCGCTGGTGAGCATGCTTAGAACTGAGTCTGGTGGGTGGCAACCCCCAATAAGTGGTAGGTAGTATTGGTAAAACACAATAACACAATACGGGGCACAGAACATTCACGTGGGTGGAAGAGCATGTGAAAGGGAATAGTAAGTGATACGGATTCCAAAGAATGTTAGCATGTTTTATAAGAGACCAAAGGTCTTCATCAGCAGTCATCAGCAACCAAGAGGTGGACACTCAAGTCCATTTTCTGAACTGCCTGAACCTCTTGAGATGAGAAGAAAACACCAGACCCTCACTGCCCTGCCCTACGTTGCTCTACGGAAGCTCCCCTGCTTCTCTCTCTGTCACGTCTCGGGGACTCCATCTTATCTGCAAGCTGCCTTGCCAGCACTGTTGGACTTTTTTTTGCCTCCAGTGCTCAAACAACAGGTGGGGCAAGGTCAGGGTTTGGGGTTAAAGGGGCTGGAGGTGAGGCCGGCCTCCTAAGGCAAAAAGGAGACTTGGGGTCAAGGTTGCTAGGGTGTAGGTCAGAGCCAGGGCGACTCGGTGAGGCTGTGGGTTGGCCCCCTGCACAGAGGAGTGTCGTGGAGGGGCAAGCAGGCACCAACATCCAGCCACAGCTCTGCTGGACACACCATGAGCACTGGGTGGCTGGGGGTGGGGTGACAACGGTAGCCACTCTGGTCAGGGGTAAAGTCAGACTTGGGCTGGACTAAGCTCTCAGAGAATGTTCATCATTTTTTCTTACTCATCCAAAAGTGATTCTACTCTGAGTTCCTTGTTTCGCGCGTCATAGAAGAAGAAACTAAACGTAGCATTTGCAGAGCTCTTTAAGATCTTTCCCAAACTGAAGAATGGAATTTACTTTAATCAGTTTCAATATTTAGGGGGTACATGATAAGTAGAAATTCCTCCTCATGCAGCCATTCTACAAATAAATAAGGACAGAATCTAAATGGCCACCTGTATGCTAGGCACTGCCTTCGAGGAGGGTCCAGTCAAGTGTGATAGTTACAATGCACAATGCAATGTGTGGGGAAGGGAATTCCTAGCTCCATAAGAGCAATGAGAGGGCCCCAACCCAGCCCTAAGGAATTAAAAAGAAACTTCCCAAGGAGGTTGCATTTATGCCACATCTCAAAGATGGCATTGGGGTGATCCAGACACAGGAGGGTAAAGGAAGTCAGTCCAGCTAGAAGAGAAAGCTCATGCAAAGGTGAGGTTTGTCTGGGGTGATGATGAGTTCAGTGAGTCCAAGGGAATGAGGAGTGAGGGATGAACTGAAAAGGTAGCCAGAGCCTATCTTATGAAGAGTGTTATATGTAGCATGATGATATAATTTATCTTCCAAACAGGGATGTTTTTGACCATGGGCAAGAGTACTAAAAAATAATTAAAATGATATAAATGTCGATATGTGTATTTACTGGCCGATGAATTCATCACTAGATCTATAAAATAGTTGTGTTTAAAACCATTTTTTAAACTAAAATTTCAAAAATTGTGGACAAATGCTAAACTGGACCGGATGCCAGTGCAATGCAACAGACAGACACTGGGACTGTCCCAGGCAAGCCAGAAAATGCGATCACCCTAGTCATAGGGTACATCAAAGAGTTTTTAAATACAATAGGGAGAAAATTCAAGAGTGTGAAACTGGGAGAAATAATAGGAGAGGATTTAGGTTGATCAGAGTAACATAAATAACATAAATAAGTGACATAAATAACAGTTATGAGAACAGTTTTGTGGGTCAGATTGGGTTCAAGTTCTAGCTCCATTGCTTCCCAGTTCGGGGACCATTTGCTAACAGTATTGCATAATTTACTATGTTCCAGCACTCTTCCGAGTGCTTACGTATATTAACTCATTTAACTCTCGCTCTAACTTTGTGAGGTCAGTACTATTATTATCCCCATTTCACAGATGAGGAAATTCAATCACAGAGTGACTGAGTAACTTTCCCAAGATTATACCGCTGATAAGTGGTGGGATTCAGACCCAGAGAGTCTGGTTCTAGCATGTGCTGCTCATCTCTACACTACACTGATTCTCTTGGACAATTTATTTAACCTGTCTTATTATGACTTAATTTTCTCATCTGTAAAATGTTGATAGTAATATGTATACACATATTAACACATAAGGATTACATAAGATAATACCTGGAAAGTAGGCCCTGAATTAATGCTATTTTATGATTGATGTTGAATAATAAATCTGAATCATAAGAAATAAATTATATCAAAGGGCCCTGGAATTTTGAAGGACATTTACCTTCATGTTAATGGATGATAAAATTAGCAGTTTTTATAATCAGTTAAGTATTTAAAAAGTTATGTGCATTTAACCATAAGCCAGTGTATTATTTTTGTCAGCCATTGACTACACAGTTATTCATCTAGAGATAAGTAATACATTTTATATTTATTTCTATTTCTGTGCTGCCTTCATAGTTGAACATTTATTGCCTTTTATTTATAAAATAAATAGCTGTTGCAATTCATCAATGAAAGTATGTAGATTAGAAATGTATAGTCTTCTATGCCTAGCAAATACCCTTAAATAGGTATTTACAATTGCCTTTTGTATATTATGCAGGACACCAAAATCAGAATCTCTGAAATTTCAAAGCCTAAATCAAAATCCACCTCAAGCTAAAACATGCTATGTTTCAAGCAGCATGAAAATCGCCCAAGATGCATAATGATTTTGTCCCAAATGAGGGAAACCTTGTGCCTTCAGAAAAATCCCAGCAAGCACAGAAAAACATGGAAGGGCTTAGGATAAAGGAATGGACGTATTAGTGCAGATGTTCTGTTCAGGCTCTTTCCATTTTGAAAATTAAATTTGTACCAGGAGAACTGACCCTTGGGGGAGAATAGCTATGTTA